AGTGAAACTATAAAAATACATAAAATTCAACTTTAATTTATTTAAGAAATTTTATTTAAAATTTGCAATAACTATTGTACAATCTATCATTTTAATAAGTGATGATGAATCAAATATGAAAATATGAAAATTATTTCTTATTTGACTAATAATTACTCCTTTCTTACAAAACTTTTTTGGCTTTATCTACTAGCACTTTGTACTCTTTTAACTACAAAAAAAAAAATTATAAAGGATTTTAATAATATCATTCCATGCTATGGATCAAATCCTTTAGTTCTTCAATTCACTAATATTGATATGGTATCAAGGACAAGAACTCGACAAAAGTAAATAAACAAGTGAGACTCTTTCAAAGAAATATGATAAAATAGAAATAAAGAAGTATGTATATTAATAATGAAACTAGAATAGCTATTGCCAAAAGACAAGGAAACTAGAGACTCTTGAAACTAGACTAAAAGCAAGAAAAGAATTGTCAAGAGTAAAGAAGACTTCATTCTTACTTCTATATATACTATCTTCCTAAGATCAATATAGCGACATTCTATAGGACCTTTAAAAACGTGTTGACTTTGCATGATATGTATTTTAACTTGCAAGGCAAGTTTTTTATATGTACACCACATAATTAGCTTGTTCTACAAGCTACCAATACATATCATACATAGCTAGCTTGTTGACCAAGTTTCTAACCTACCAATCAACTACAAATACATATAAAGTCAAAACAGTGTCTAAGAAGCTTTTAAGAAGCTTCTCTAGAAGGTATTATAACATTAACCTACTTTTACCTACTTCTATCTATTCATATTACCTAGATAATAATTATAGTAAATATATATATATATATATATATATTCATGACATATAGATAAGAAGTGGTGTTAAAAAGATAAAAATTTTAAAAATGACATAAGGCAAAAGATAGTATATTGCAAAAATTGACTTATAAGTTAATATACATTGCCGTCATCCTAACTTCTAATACAAACTTAAAAGACTATAGGACAATAAGTTAAATCTTTATATTTAATCCAACTTATATCTTCTTTGTTGAATTAGTAAAGTATTATTAATGTAAAAAAGTTTTAAAAAATAAAGTTTTTAAGTTCAATTACAAGATATAGTAATGAAACATTGCATGAAGCATATGCTAGGTTTAAAGATTGATTTTTTATATATGAGGTATAATAAAGAAATGAGTAATTTTATATTAATATAATATATTAGATAAAGAAATTGAAATCATAGTATAAAGTAAAGTTGTGATACTTAGAGTGTCACCAATATTGAGGTTTGTATTTAAAACATCTAAAAAAACTCAGATTAACTTATTTGAAATAAAATTTGTAATATAATTCTTAACCAAAGAATTTAAGTAGGTAGAAATATAAAAAAAAAGAAAGATGAATCTTCTATCTTATTAAAGTGAATTTCAAACCAAGTGCTTTAATTGTAGAAAATTAGAATATTTAAAGAGGAATTTTATACTAAATCAAAAGATAACTTATGTAGGATCATATTGTTTTAGATGTAGAATAAAAGAATGTAGTCCAAAAAAGTATTGAAGTTATATCTAAGATTAAAGTTCATTGTTCCAAGAGGTAAGACCAATTCCAAAGTTGGTTAAAAACAAACAACTCTTAAAGAATCCTTCAAAGAAAAAGATAATTCTTAGAAGGCTAAGTTTACTAAATTAGAAGCAAAAATAGCAACAAATGAGTGTAGCAACTCAGGACGGAAGCATTCTTTTTAAAGAACAATAGAAAATATCTCTAAATTATTTTGCAAAGGATCATGATTACATGTTATATGGTATAGCAATAGCAAGAAGCAGACCAAGTCTTTAAGCATATGCTAGGTTGATAAGTATATAGAAAAGCATTAGATTTATAAACACAACTTTTGATGTTAAGAACTTTCAAAAATTGGAGGTTTAAGGCTTGTTAAGGACAACTTAGAATTTTTTTTGTTAGACCATAAATACATCATTAGATGGAATAAAAAAAACTACAAGCATTATAAAGAAAAAACTTATTTTGGAGCATTAACAAGATGATATCATGGATGTTAGTTTTATGAAGGTAAAAGCAATATTTATGGAAAATAAGTCCTATTATATCTTAATAAGGGCCATTGTGATATATCCAGTGGAATTTCTCTTAGACTTTTGAATAGAGACCACCTTCTATAAGCCAAAATGGCAAATAGAAGATAGATAGAAGGCTCAAGTGCCAATTTAATTTATTTGAGTTCTTATTAATAATATGGTTGATATCTTTTGTTTTTTAGGACTTGTAAATAATAAAAAAACTTTAATTCAAAGAAATATTTTAACAAATATAATTTATTCTTAACACAATGAGCTAAATTGAGCACATTAAAATAAAAAAAAGAATTAAAAGAGTTTGATGACATGAATGTAGAGCCTTCATTAATAAAAAAAAATCTGCATATAGTACCATTAAAGATTTATAACATGTTGCTACAAACACAATTCAAAAGTTGTAGTAAGAAGTTGTATTTTTACAAAATAAAGAAAAAGATGACATTGATATAATCAAGGATATGGGGCCATCCTTGGATAGCTTTACTATATATTAGCAACCTTTAGAAGAAGGCATTACTCTATTGGAATTATTTAAAAAATCATCCATTGAATTAATAGCCATTTTTTAAGCTAGTATTAAAGTGAAATGATATTAACATATACACAATAATAGCTTAGTAAAAAGACTAGCCATATAATATATACACAATTTAATTAAGTGATTTCTATTGTTATTTCAAAGATATGTTAAAAAAATAAATATTATTTTATCAAGTCATATTTCTAGAAAAGAAATTACATGACATAGGTCTATTAATTTAATTATTTTAAGGTGGTCTTCTCAATGAATGTCCTAATGAAAATATTCTTCATCATTAGAACTATATTTTTTATAATAATATTTTTTAATATCATCATTTATTTGAATTAATATTATCTTAATTTTTAAATTATTTCAATCAATATATAATTAGTAAGATCTTCTTGGAATAAGTCTTTGTAAGATTTGTGCAATTACTAAAGATTTCTTCTATTCTCTAAAGATAAGTTTTTGCTCTTTATCTCATATCTAAAGTTGATTATTACTTATTGACATGGTCAAAACTATTGCATTTGCACTAAATATCTTTACAAATTTTCTATATTAGTTTTGAAGTCCCAAATATGCATGCAACCAACCTATATCATGTGGTCTTGATATATATAAATATATTATAACTTATTTCTTTTCAATTATCAAATCCAATCTTCTTTGATATATGATGTGTCCAATATACTCTACCTTATTTTTGTAGAATTAATACTTTCTAAGATGTAAATTCCATCCATATTCTTTAAGTCTCTTAATAACTTCTTATAATTGATTTTGAAGTTCCTTGTAGTTCTTGCTAACTATAATAATATTATCCATATAGCATTTTAGAAAATCAAAATCAATAAGAACTTTATCCATCATATATCAAAATTTTATAAGAGAATTTTTTTTTAGTCCAAATGGCAAGAATTTCTATTGGTAAATGTGGTCTTTTGCTTCTTATACTCTTATAATAGAAGTTGGTGGTACCCTAATTCAAGCTCTAAAGTGCTAAATAGTTTAGTTTGACCAATGGCTTCAAATATCTATTCAAAGGTGGACATAGCATATTTATTTTATTTAACATGCCTATTAACCTTTCTATAGTTTCCAAACATTTGTTTCTTAATCCAATTTCAATGAATTTTCTTTTTAGTTGGCAGGATTGTAGCAAATGTATATTTACAATAGTGAAGTGCAAACTGTGCCAATTTGGATTCAAATAACTCTTAAGTACAATCTCAAATCATCTTATTCTCTATCTTGCTATATTTATAAGGATTGCAATAGATAGCAGTGTTATTTGTGAAATGAATTTTCAGAATTTGATCTTCAAGTATATCCAAATTATGTAAATTGAAGCCAAATACTCTTCTTAATTAGAACTATATTTTGTGTGATATTTGTTCCATGGAATGGCATATGAATTGTTTTAATCCAACAACAGATTGGTCATGTTCAAAGCATGCCAAGATGGGTGGGCATTCAAAACACTTGATGATTCTCACTTAGATTATCTTTTAAATCTTGCAAATTGGATGTTTCAAGGTTTGCCAATGTGAAAAGGAATTCAACATAGGCAAAGAGGGCAAATAAATGGAGTATTTCCAATCTACTTACTATATTCTGTATATAATTGAAGTCTTGGGTATTTTATTCCTTTCAATGCATCTTCTTTGTTTATATAAGTGTGATGATGGTGTCTTACACATTTAGTCATGATGGCAATGTTGTAATAACCACAATTAAGTTACAGTTAAATACAAACATTTATATATATATATATATATATATATATATCGCCATTGTTAGTTGTCAACCATGCAAATTGCATATATAAGGTATTTGCTTTAATTGGTCTTCAGATTATCAGCTTTGGCTGTATAATGTGGTATTTGCACAATGTGTTTGCACGGTTTCTGGGCCAGAATCCAGTGCTTTAGTAATAAATCACGCTATGTACAGCCCAGAAACCACACTAAAGGTTTGAGGCATGTACAATAAAAAAGCACATGTACAAACTGCAAAATAATAATCTTTACATAATTTTCTCTCTAAAGCTCAAATCCAAAGTAAATGAAACGTAAGCTTTAAGAACATGAATAAAAACAAAGGGGGTGACATATCCACTTCCCATTCTTGATATATCCACTGCCTTAACCCTTTACCAACAACATTTCTGACGTATCCACTCACTAAATTCTAACTCATATCAAGAAGTGTTAATTTGCGCAAAAGTATTCAAGAGAGTTCACATGAGGTTTAGAGGAGATTGGTGAAGATCTTACTCGTTGAAAATACTTAGTTATGAGATAGACACAGTAAGTGATAATTGTTTCATACGAATTCCTCAAAAGTAATGCAACCTCTGAATACACGAAGTAAAATTCTAAATCCAAGTCATCAAAGTTACATTTCCACAATATAATGAGAAAAACTTGAAACCATTATAGTTCATAATAGAAAGTGTCTAAATTTAAAAGCACACTCTCCAACAAACCTGGAGCTCTTTCTACTCTCCAACATCTCTATCCCCATCTATGCGTTCCAGAATTGGCCACAATTGGAAAGAACATTTAACAAGATGCAAGTGCAACCAAGATACTCAAAACTATGTCAAACGTTTTTACTTAAAAGGTTGGCAAGTTATCAAATACTTTTCGGGCCCAATTCGGACGCAGATGCAGCGAAGTATTCAGGACACCACGCATGCTACGAATTCAGCATTCCTTGAAAGAGGCCATAATCGGGTCGCCACATCAATCACTCATGCTGATCTATCTGCTTTCAGGAAACTTCGTTTGGTATGCCAGTGCGCTCTGCGATCAAAAGCTCCTAAGGTTAATAACCATGGTCATCTTAACGCACTCCAAAACGGCAGCTAACAATCAAAACTCTGTCAAATCATCTCGCAACATGTCAATCTGGAAGAGGACTCACCAGGTATGTTGCGGTAATCATTTTACCAGCAAACCAACGCCCGTGCAAAGCCCGTTGAGCAGCCATTGCCGCGGCAATTGAATCAAAGCACAAGTAAACATGACCAGCGCTATTCCTGAACAAGATACCAACAATACAAGTCAGCCAACTCAAATATTCTCGACACACATGTAAACAGTGATATACGACCACATGAACATTGAAATCTAGAATATATGTCGTAAATGCTAATGATTATTAACACTCATAAATGCGATTCTGACTGCTAGTAGACGACGTGAAAAATAAAGCGATGACCACTGCATCTGAACAAAGACAGACCAAAAAAGTATACCACGAGAAGAATTATACGAGACCCTTCACAAGACCAGGAGTCAAAAGAAACAACTAGCGTTGACAAATGACTCACTTGTCAACAAAGATATGCTTCACAACACCAAACTTTGAGCACTCCTCTTGTACGTCATCCTTGATATCCATGTCAAAATCCGGGTCGGACTGCATGACAAGTACACATTGTTAGTCGAGATGATTTTAGAAACCTATCGATCCATCAGATCTATGAACACAATTAAAGGACACACACAACCACCGAGTTAGAGTTCGCATATCAAATTAAGAGCAGGTGTAAGCTCTTGATGCACACAAACAGCAACAAAAGAAGGTGATAAGTTTTTAAAATACACAAAGCATCGATGTCTCGTACAAGACTGAATATTTGACTCTCATTCACAGAACTGAAGCACAGTAGGACTAACCTCGGTGCTCGGGTCAAACATATTCTTGAGCAGCAGATATTCACTCGGCTGCCCAATCGCATCAACTGCACCAGTTAAGGAGGGCATTGCGAGGGCAGGTGAACTGAGAGCAGCAGCAGCCCCTAATCCCGGGGCAGCGCCTGCTAAGACCAGTGGATTCTGAACAAAAAAAGGAGGCCTCGCTAGAGGAGTTACAGTAGGAGGTACAGCTGTTCCAAGGAGGCCAAGAGTTGGCGCAGGCGCTGCTGGTAGGGTAGAAGCAACACTGCTAATGTGCACAAAAAATCCGTCGTGAGTGATATGTTGGATCGCAAGTATTCATGTACAACAATTGAGAAAACTAGACTTATACAATGATATGCGAAATGAAAACCACCACTAAATAAAAAGATGTTTTTAGAGTGAAACACTCATTAGAGTACCAAATACTGATTTCAGTATTAAAAATGCAACAAATAATGACATAAAATACTACCTCGTTCCAGTTCCACTCCGATCAAGCTTCTGCATAAGGAGAGCTCTCGAACGAGCATTCAAGGACTGCAAGGAACGTTGCATGGACACAGATAACATTAGACAACCGTCAGGAGCTCATAAATGCACAGTAACATGATGAAAATTGAGTGACAACAGATTTCAACGTTGCTACAAAACATAAACTCACCAGACCACCTCCCTCATCATCATCAAGTTCTCCAGGATGCACTCCCATATCCTCCATACCAATCTGGTCTGAAACGGCTGACACCTGATGAAGAATCACATAATAAATTATCAGGATTTTGAATATTGTAAAAGATGAGACGAAGGGCACAACATATATGTTCTTTAGCCCAACAGAAAACCAATCGAAGATTAACACTTATCAAAGAATAAAATGTGACCTTGATTGGACGTCCTGCAAGCTCCAACCCGTTAAGATTCTGTTGCGCTGCACGAGCATCTTCCAGCCTTGCATACTAGCAAGAGTCACAAATATCAAATAATTAGTGCTTGATAAGGTTCTACGAGCTGCTTTACCAAAAGTGCGCAGCCAGTAATACACTACACTTCCATAAATATCTAAGAAAGAGTGAACACTGCCGAATATAGGAGAACGTAGTGCTCAAAAACCAAGGGTTGCAACATGTAGCTACATTAAACTGTAAGGTGCACGATGATTGACTTGCGGCTTTGAATGATATGACGAAACAAACTTACTTGTACGAACCCATACCCTTTACTTTGCCCCGTTTCAATATCCGAAGGTAGCTGCACAAGCTCCACTGGACCAAAAGGCTCGAAAACCTGTAAGAAAGGACATGCAATCAATGTGATCTCGCGAAAGAGAAAAATTACAACGGTGATGAGAATTACAGGTCTTAACTTAAAATGAACACATGTGATGTACCAAACTCTGAGTAGCTACGAGCTAACAACAAATATATCCACTCTCGGAAGCAATAAATCCATTAAAAAAAAAAAAAAAAAAAAAAAAAAAAAAAACCGCGAGTTGTGAATCTTCCTAAATTTACATAACGATCAATTAAATTCCACCCTTCATAAATCATCTTTCAATAACGTAGACGAGATGTTCACACACTAGACACAGTGCTAATGATAAGAAAATCCATACCTGACGAAGCTGATCCTCAGTCATGTTAAAGTGAAGATTTCCTACATAAAGCCGGCGGGCGCCTCCTGAATACGGGCCAATGAAGCTACCAGCAACTCCCGGAACAACGGTTGTAGATTGTACAAGGTTCTTCTCAGCTTCAGAGGGTTTCACCATGACCGGCTGATTCAATAATAACTGACCTGATAAAGCAATAGCCATCGGCACTGACATGGCGTCATAGAACTCTATATACCTGTTACAAGACATCACCATGTTGACTGGTCAGATACTCCAAATGCCAGCCCTAGAAAAAAAGACATGGACTTTGGAGGAATAAGGATAATCAAGAAGCACAAAACAGAAGTCGGCGATATAAGAAATGAACAGATCTTACCCAACTCCTTTCGAACGCCTCGAATTCCGGTCCATGATTAGCCGGACATCACGCACCTAACAAAAAGTCACTGTTAATTACTTCGCAGATTCTGCTGCACTGCGAAGTAGAAAGGAGCAAGAGTAGAAAAGGATCCAACCCATGGGACCTTGACAGCACACTGACATGCTCATGGCGCTCAACCTCGCATAGCTGAGGAAGTGCCCCAAAGAAGCTACTTACGTAAGTAATTCAGTTTAGCGCTCACCACAAGCTCCGGTCCAGAATCACAAAGAAGGCCACAAGTCTGACCTCATTGCAAGCAAACTCAGGGATGTGCACTGCAAAGAAGCAGAGGGTTTGATTCATACTCATTATGTAATCAATGAACTCGTTGTGTTCCACAGAAGACTACAGAGTAAGACACCAACAGCATCCTAGTGAACCGGTCACCTTGTTCTCCAGACAAACCCAGATCAGCGTTTGTGACGTAGGGTATGAAACAAGATATCAATTACTAAACCACACACGTACACTACCCAACAGACCACATGTACCATGATTGCGAGTACAGTTGAGGACTTTGGCAGGCCTCTATCTCCAGACGTGTCCACTGACCTTACAAACTTAAATTCTGCGACTCTCTTTTCATGAGGACTACATGCCCAGAAGGTTCGACAGAAGGTCAGGTCTCACCTTTCCTGCCCGAGAGAAAAAATCGTAAACATCACGCTCATCGGCCTTCAACGATATCTGCATCATAAACATGATGGACCACGGGTTAGTCAAGTACCGTGGAAGACAGTGAGTATCATTAGATGTACGTTAGACTCCACATACATGGATAATTCGATGCAGCATACGATATTAGGTCAACGAATGCAGCATATTGGACACTGTTAGACATACTCCCCAATTATGTCAACCTCTGGAACCCAAGAAAGCCAGAGATGAATCTCAGCAACTCGGACAAACATGAGGGGGCCGGTTCGCTTCCACGTAACTGCTGAGTTAACACCTGTCTGTAGCAATGAAGGTTCCTAAAAGGTCTCAAGCAGTTACAACAGGAAGTGGAAGCTTACACTGCCTGAAGCAGAGCTAAGATTATTTGACCAATTGAATAAACCTGCATGACCAGATCCCCCCCACGGTCTCATTGTTGTACCCCTAAAATATAATCTCCTGGGTGCAAGGACCCCTTAAGTTCAACTCAATGTGACCACAGGCGCAAATTATTCCCAAAGTCACAAAGATCGAGTCCTGCATTTACATGTTGGGATAATCCACTACCATCAGTTTCAGGGCAACCTGCTCGCCTTAAACAGAAGAAACTAACACCTACAAACGAGCTGTATATTTTAGCATAAAACACTTCAAACTGTTCCCTTCCATTTCATGGTGCTAGTTGCGGGAGTTCTGTATGCAAGGGACTGTAATGCAGACTAGAATCACTGCTGTCCCTGTCATCCGTCTATGGCAGCGGCTTATGCACTATGACAATTGCTGACAGTTCAGAGGTAGTGATGCAAGTAAGCCGACAAATCGATTTGGGCAACCATTTCAAAAAATATGTATACATATACATCACGTAACGGCTGGAAACAACTCGGTTACAGGTTGTCCAGGAAAAAATCTCATAGAGAGAACACCATGGTGTTTGGATTGAATTCTAATAGCTCGGGCACTGTACATTGAGGTAAAACATAGAGCTACAATAAAATAAGTAGGTGGATTAATGATTCTGTTCACCTGATATGCAAAAACAGTTCTTTGATCCCGCTCAGGGTCAGCCTCCGGTTCATTAGCCACAATCTCTTCCTTACGATCCTTGAGCTCTCTCGACCGTCTCCTGTAAATTTTAATAACAACATTGTCAGAAAATGTCACGTACCCATACAGGAAACTTCAAGTCAAGAATGTAATGCTTGAGAAAGCAACAAAGTAGGAAATCAATGATTGGAAAATTACCGATGCTCTCTTTCGCGCTCCTTCTCTCGCTCTCTCTCCTTCTCCCTATCCTTCTCCCTATCCTTCTCCCTCTCCCGCTCCTTTTCTCGCTCCTTCTCGCGCTCCCTCTCGCGGTCCTTTTCCCTGCTGCGATGACGATCACGAGATCTGTCCCTCTCCCGCTCCCTTTCCCGTTCCTTCTCCCGTGACCTCACCTTCTCCGACAACTTCTTCACACTCGACTCTCGGCCCTCACGCCTAGACTCCTTCTCCGCGCGATCACCGTCACCTCGCTCGCTCTTGTCTCTGCTCTTCTCCGACCTGCTGCTCCTGCTCCCTCGCTCTTTCTCAACATCCTTTTCTGACCCCCGTTCCTCTCGCGCTCGACCAGGCGAGCCGTGACCAGCGACATCCCGCCCACTCCTGGACCGATCGCGTTCCGACCTCTCTCCACCTCTCTCTTTCTCCTTCTCTCGGTCCTTGTCCACCCGGTCTCCACGCTCGCGCTCTTCATCGTCCCCACGCGTGCGCTTGCTCCGGTGGTCGTGTGCGTCGCTATCGCCACTGCGACGCTTGTAGCTCGCATTTCGCCGGCCCCGACCGTCTCGCTCATTCCCGTTGCCCCCTTCATGATTGTTGTTCCCCTTAGCGTCGCCGCCACCCTCCGTCATCTTCTCCAGGTAGTCATACTCGTCGAACTCCATGCTTTCGGCTCCGGTCCTCCTTCTTCGCCGTGCCAGCAACAAGGCCGTGTCAACACTGCCGTCGAAACCGCACACCAACACAGGCCGGCGCTGAGCAATGAACCACAACCAAACCCTAGTCCAGCAGCAGCAGCAAGCCCATGTCCATGCTGAGTCCAGAGCCCAAGCACCACGACGAACGTTCAAAACAAGAGAGTAGAGAGAGAGAGAGAGAGAGAGAGGACCTCACCTTCTCTCTCCTCTCTCCTCTCTCGTCCCTTGGCTTGTGAGGATGTATTCTAATATCATCCATTCCACTTCTTCCTTTTAGTTCAAGTCACTTTCATGAAAAATATTAATTTTAAATAAGATCTTAAAGAAGTGTTTTGTATAAGTTGGTTGATGTGATTTTTATTATGTTTCATATGTATGTTTGTAAAGAAATGTTGTGTATGAAAAAGAAATTTGTAGTAATCATAATTAGAATATAAATTCGTTCATTTTATTTTATTTTATTCAATAAAAAATTAATTTATTTTATTTTTAAGAAATTATTAAATAGATTCATACTTTTACTAAATAGACCCACCCTTGATGAAGAATATGGTAATCATGGTGATTGATTTTTATTGGTTGTAGATCAAATACTAGGAAAATAAATTAAGAAATCATAATATTTCTTTATGATTGTTAGGATCAGTGGACCAATTTAGTAAAAACTTAGGTCTATTTAAAATTATTCTATTTTTGATGAGCTAAACATGTAAACATGAAAAAACATATATACATAATTAATAGAAAAAATCCATTTTGTGAATTAAATAATTTTCATAGTCATTTAGTATATAATATTTTATATGGAACTACAATTTGTATTTTTCTATTTCACTAGCAAATAGACTTTGTCTTTTAACTATTTGTGAATTTTTTCCTTAAATAAATTATACCTCTTAAAGTGTACTAACTAAGGAATCATAATTTATCATTTAAAGATATTTGATGGTATTAGATTTAAGGTTTTGAAGATTTAGTAATATAATATAACTTTTATTTAATCCCAACCTTTTATTTATTCAATCTAAGCATCTCAAATAAAATTTATTAAAACTCCAAATAACAAACATATTTTTCTTTGTTTTTTAAATTTTAAAATAATAAAATTATGTATTAAACATATATATATATATATATGATATTTTTAATAAAATTGTAATCTATATATATAAGACATGATGCACCTTATATACAAAATAAAAACTCCAAATATTATAGCAAAGAAAGTGATGTATATCCATACAATCATCACAATTTTGAATTTTTTTAATTAATGTTATGTAAAACAATTTTGCAGAATTAGTCAAATTTTTACAAGCTATGACATGATAAAAAAATTAATTGATAAATTTATTTAAATCTTAAAATTTGAGTTAAGTTAATGGTTTTTTTATTAAATGCAATAATTATCTTTTTTTTGAATTAAACTAAAAAGTTAAATGTTAATTCATTAATGCCTTTAAACTTTTGCAGAAAATGCTTTAATTCATCCAAATATATAATTAAATATAGAGATCATTTATAATTATGATAAATATTTTGAATACCTTACAATTTAAGAATTTATTTAATAATAATACAAAAAATAATAGCTATATTATAAAAAAAACATAATATAATACTTAATTTTATTAAATAAATAAAGAGTAAAATTATAAAAAAGAAATAATATATTAATAAAATAATGTGTTCAACAACATCAGTGATTGTTAGCTTAAGAAATTATAATAAAATAAAACTAATATTAAAAAGGTGTATTATAGAGAGGTGGGAGGAAAATGGATTAGTATGAAAGAAGAAAAAGAAAAAGATTGGTATAAAAAAACTACTTGTAAGAAAAAATCTAAATAGGGTTAGAAAAACATAAATGAGTGTAAAAAGGCAAAGAGATTAGCCACCTATGTGTTAAAAGTTTAGGTGGTTAGAACCATGTTTGATAGTTATGGTAGTTAGAAATAATTACAAGATAAAATGAAGATATGGATGTTTGAAGACTAGGTTGACGAAGATGAAGACAAGAAGAAGTTAATGAAGATATAGATGGTTGAAGCAGAAAAAGACAAGATGAAATGAAGATATAGATGTATGAAGAAGATGAAGACAAGAAGAAGAAAGATGGTTGAAGAACTAGATTAAAGAAGACAAAGATAAGATGAAGTTATGAAGATATGAATATTTGAAGAGTAGATTGAAGAAGATCAGATGAAATTAACAAATAAAACTAACATATAAATTGAAAACAATTTTCAGATTGAATTATTTGACCACAACTTTGACAAAACCAAGAGCCATGAAAGATAAGTATTTGGATAGTTTCTATGTTGAAACATAAAAGAGATACTTGAGATTCTTGATATACAAGAATATAGGTGTTCAATGATCATGTGGCTAGATTCTTGTACATAATTATTTTTTAAAGGCCTTAAAGAAGCTTTCAAATCTTTTCTTTGTATTTTAATATAAGTTTATTTGAGATCTAAAAACTCTAGTATTATCACTTTTATTATTTTTGACTTTTGTGCCTTTGTTTGTTTTTTGAATAGATATTTTGTTTAAAATCATAAGGTATTGAATATACTAAAAGTCAAAATTACATGTGTAGAAGTTATTGATAATGAATAATGTGATTTAAGAAATAAACTTGACAAAATCCTACATATAGAGGTGATTACAAAGGCTCATATAAGACTAATTGTATGTAATATTATAAAATTTCTAATCAATTTGGTTGATTTAAGATTTTTGTAGTTAAAAAATATATAATCCTTAATTTTAGATGTTTTATAATCTTGAATTTATTCTTATTTAATTTAAAATGACGATAGAAAAAAATAAGTCTTATTTCTAAAAAAATTAAAAAATATATTTTTAAGAATTAGAGAATTTAAAAAAGACATAAAAAAATATTTTTCATTTATGAAGCATAAATCTTCATTCAAGTCTAAGCTGCAATAGAATCTCAAAGCAATATAAATAAAATTAAGATGTATTTAAAAGAAAATAGACTAATATATTGATATAACACCAATCATGTGAATCTACAATTGACCTTTAAGAAGGAGCTTAGCCACTTTTTAGACCAATTTACAACTTATTGCATATTTGACTAGTAATTTTAAAAGAATATAGAAAAAATTAAATGTACAAAAAGATTTATAACTTTTTAATAAAATTCTATCATATTTCTTTAAAAAAATTATATCTTTAAGAGTATATAATAAAACTTTAAAATTTGCAAAAAATCTTAATAAGAGGTTAAAAACTTCTACAAATACATCAATCATCTTTATAAAAAAAAATAGATTCTTAAGAATAGAAGTAGCTTATCATAGTTTTGATAGATTGATTATGAAAAATTGTTATCTTTTGTTTATAATAATAGAGTTATTTGTTCAACTAAGTGAAGTTCAAATCTATATTAAGATAGATCTATAACTAGTCTTTACTCTATTACATATAATAGAAGAAAATAAATAGAAGATTATTTTCCATTATAATAAGATGATTTTATTTAGAACTAAACTTGTTAGATGTAAAAAAATGCATTAATCTAATTTCGTATAAATTATAATTATTGCAATTAATAAAGATTTATCATAAATTCAATGTGTATTTTTTGAACTTATATTATAATAGACATATTAGGAAAAAAAACAACTATCATCACTTTCTAGTGAAATAAATAAAAAAAAAATGAAATGAAAGAAGTTTTACAATTGCAGCAATATTATAATAAATCAAAATATCTAATATATTAACAAGATTTAATATTACTAATTGCATATAAGAGCTATTTTTATAAACACATCATATAATATTTATTTTCCTTTTTATGTTATTAATAATATCTATTAATACCAAGAATCAATTATTGATAATAAGATGAAATAAAATATAAATGAATGAATCAAAGATTCAAACCTTATAATTTATTTTTATAATATGAAAGCAAAAATTAGCAAATTCATCTTGAGAATTGCCATTTGTAGAATTTTTAGATGTAATATTGTAATATTATACCATAGCAAGTTAAAAAAAAACACAAAATTTCTATTAAAAGATTATATTTTGTAAATTTGGCAATAAGAGAAAGATACTATTAGAGGCCTTTGTTAATCCATGTTAGAAGCCTACAATCATTTGATTACTTAAAAGATTGTTGAAAAAATTTCTCATCTAACATTTAAAAACATGTGTGCAACATTAGAATTGTTTGAAGATGACAGAGAGTTACAACAATGTTTATAGGAGGCATTACACAAATAAAGTGGATCTCAAATGAGGGCATTGTTTGTTTTTTTGCTACTTCACAAAAATCAGGTAAATCCAATAAATCTATAAGAAAGGTTCTAAGGAAGCATCTTCAATGATTTTAATATTTTTTTGCAAAAAAAACATAAAATTAGCAATCTAACAAAAGAATAGATCAAAGATTTGGGATCTTTTTTGCTGGATAAGATTTTATAAGACTCTAAAAAAATAATTATATAATTTTATTTGATATCATTTCTAAAAAAAACAATTGAAATGCAACAATTGATAGAAATTAATTTATTACTAAAAGAAGCACATATGTCATTCAACAATTAGAAGCAAATTTGGAGCAATATGTTCTACAATTAAATCTTGAATATTGTTGCTTCCATAAAGGAAGAATATAGATATTTTTTTATTATTTTGAACAAACTTATAGGAACTAGCAAGACATTTTTCTACAATACTTTGGCAATTAAAGTTTGATTGATGTAGAAGATTGTCATATAACAGTGCATTATCAAGAATTGTTGCATTACTACTTGATAAAAGAAAGACTACCTATTCTATGTTCAGGATTGCACCATACTATAACAAGGATTTTTTTTGTTCAATTAATAAGAATTTTGACCATATTGAGTTTATTTGCTAAACTTCACTCATTATTTAAAATGAACTTCTGATGCAACATTGTTATTGTCTTAAAAGAGTTGACTGTTCTTTTAGAGATATTTGAGATATTGATTTTCCATTTGGAGGAGCTATAGTAGTCTTTGGTGGAGATTTTTTTCCAAATATTACCAATGATCAAGAAAGAAATTTAAGAAAACATTTTAGCAACATCTTTTCAACGTCCAACACTTTACCCTAAGATAAAGATCCATATATTAAAAGAAAATGTGAGATTGAGTTTGAAATTACTTGAAGCAAATAATAAGTTTGTTGGTTAACTTTTTCAAGTGTAAAATACACATTGATATTGCAAATAATGGTGGTGCATTTGTGTTCTTTATGGTTATATTATGATTGACTAATATTTCTATTTGTAACTCATTAAATCAAAAATAGTACAAGCCTTTTGCCTAATAATATAATTATAATTTTGAATCATAAGATTGTCAATCATTAAATAATGTCATTAGTTGATATTTTTTATCTAAGTTTTTGCAAAAGACGTTGTAAGAGATGATGGCTTTTTAAGAAATAATAGGATTTTATTAGCACAAAATGATGGTGTGGAAGATATTAATCAAAAAGTTTTGGCCATCTCTTCCGTAGAAGAACAAAAATATCTAAATGTTGATGAAGTTGTCATCAAAAATAGTATCAACAACAATAATGTTTATTTAATCAAATTTATCAAGTTGCTAAATCCATCTAGAATAGCCAGATCAAGACTTTGTTTCCAGATTGGATTTTTAGTGATGCTACTAAAGAATATTTCTCCTCTCCAAGGACTTCACAATAGAATCAAATTGGATATTACATGACTAATGGATTGAGTTCTTAGAGCAAGAATTCTCAGAGGCCAGTTTCCTAAAAACTTAGTGTTCATTCCACAAATTACAGTAACTTTGTTAATAAAAGAACTTTTGTTTATTCTAAAGAGAAAGAAATTTCTAATATGTATTGCATTTAAAAGAACAATAAACAAGTTCCAAAGACAATTAATGAAGCATATTGGTTTGAATTTAGAAGGAGTTATTTATTTTTTTTTTTCCATAGTCAACTTTACATACCACTTTTTTAATGCACTTTTTTTTTATTTTTATTTTTATTAAGTTTCTTCTTTTTCTAAATGAGAATTAAAATTCCATGTTAAATATTTTTTTTTCAAAATTTGTATTAATTAGTTATTAATAATTTATTTTTTATAATTTTTATTTCATTTTATTTTATTCATACATAGTTCCAAATTTTGATTTTAGTACATCCTTGAATATGTTAATTCAATTTTATGCTTTCTATGGTTATGCTTTAATGAGTAGTTCCTAGAAAAAAATTAACTATTGTTTTTGCATGGATTCAACTACTTCCTTTTGTAGCTGAAAGTTCTATTGTATACTTTATTTCCTTTTTTTTTTTTTGAAAAAATTATAAAAAATATTTTTTGTCTCACAAACATGTCCTTAAAAATGACAAATGGCATGGGTTCAGCCAGGATTCAGCTAGTTTTGTATTAATTTCTTTCAAATATAAACCTTTGCATTTTAAACATAACATTGTTGAAGAATGTCATATATATATATATATATATATATATATATACTTGTGATAATAATGAGTTCATAATTTTTTATTACAATACTTATAGAAAAATATCTCTTCAATGATGTTAAGAATCTTGTCTTGTCCTAATTCGCACATTGTATTCAGACCTTCAAATTAATTTTTAAAAATAAATAAATAAAGTTTTTAAGATTAATTTTTAGTTGAAATTAAAATAGGGGAAATGATAAAAAAATTGTGTCAACCAATCTGAACGAAACTACGGAGACCAAAAATTGCAACATCTTCACGAGGACTCAGAGAGGGCAAGTTTTCCAAGAGCTAAGAAAATCTTCGACTTCGTGGCACTGGACAAGGCATCCATCCACCCATCCATCCACCCATCCATCCACCCATCCATCCACCCATCCATCCACCCATCCATCCACCCATCCATCCACAGAGTGGAGCACACGGCAGAAACGCGGGGGGAGGGGGAGGGGGGGGGTCCAGCTTGCCAATCAGGAGACAAGTTACTCGCCGACGTGGACCGAGTGGGTCGGTGACGGGATGCTACGATCTCGAACCGAACCACTCATACCGAGGCGAACCCGTGCTTGGCTCGGCCGCGACGAACCGGATCGGTCTGGACCGGGCCAGGAGCTCTCTCCTGCTGGGGCACAGTGACCTACTACCCCGGCGGCAGCGGGCCGCAACGACGCCGCGAGGACAGGGACGGAATGTTCTACAGACAGGAATCGGATCAAGAGGGGGAAGGGGAGTGGGGAGGGGAGGATAGGGGAAGAGGAGGGTTTTGCCTCCCTTCTACACTACTACTACATTCGTCTGGTCTTGTGCGGCAGGTTCTGGGTTACCTAGTCTCTCGCACCCTAATTGTAAAATCCCTCATCATCCCAGTCAGGGCTGCTGCTACAAAGCCCCGCCCACCTCTACCCCCTCTGTCCTTCCCCCCCCTTCCCCACCTCCTCCGGCGCCACTACTGCTGCTTCTGCTGCCGCTGCCCTTCCCCATTGATCGCCTCGCCTCGCCACGCCTCAGGTACCCATCTCACCTCTCTCCCTCTTCCCTCACTCCCTCTCGTCTCTGCTATCCACTTCCCTCCTTTTCTCTCCTCTTCGCTTCCTCTGCTGCCGACTCTCTCTTGGGTTCTTTGATCTCTTCCTTCTGTTTTATTGTTTTCCCCCCTTAGGTTGTGACCACTCTTCCCTTGCGTTGATCGCCTCGCGGATCATACTGCGTGCCGCGTATTGGGTCTCCGACTTCCCGCGCATCTTCTTATTTAATCTCGCTTTTGGGTTTTGTTCCGGAGAGGTTTAGATCTCCAGCTCGCGGTTCCGTGCCTGCTTCTTTTTCGCGGAGGTAGATCGCGTTGGGCGGTGGTGAGATCTTGCTCTGTGTTGGGTTCAGGTTTTGTTTTGTTTTGTTTTTTGTTTTTTTTTTGTGTTTCTAGAGTGGGATGCGTGTTGCTGGATGCTTTGTTCTGTGAGCGCCGACTGGTGCTTTTGGCTAGTGTCTGAAAGACATTTACTTGCTCGTGTCGTTGCCGGAGTGGTAAATGTCGTTGAATATATGTTTCGTTCGGTTTCATGGGATGTGGTCTTAGCAACCAGTCGTCAATCCCGATTGTGATTGTGTGGTGATGTGGATGAGGTGTTGGTTTTTCTTCCAGTGAAGGTAGGGAGATATTAACAGCGGTGAAAATATGGCGCTGGAGGTGACGCAAATACTGCTTAACGCCCAGTCTCCTGATGGGACGGTCAGGAAGATTGCAGAGGATAATCTTAAGCAATTCCAGGAGCACAACCTTTCTGCTTTTTTGGTATCTCTATCTCATGAACTTGCCAATAATGATAAACCTCCCGAAAGCCGAAGGCTTGCCGGTTTGATACTTAAAAACTCCTTGGATGCTAAGGAGAGTGCTCGAAAGCAAGAACTTGTGACGAGATGGGTGGCGTTGGATCCAAGCGTGAAGGCGCAAATCAAGACTGCTCTTTCTCAAACCCTTGCCTCAGTGGTTGCGGATGCTCGTCATACTTCCGCGCAGGTTATTGCCAAGATTGCTGCTATCGAGCTGCCTCAGGGCGAATGGCCCGAGCTGGTTGGGTCATTGTTGGCAAATATGGGAGGTCCTCAAATGGAGCAACCCGCGCATCTGAAGCAAGCGACACTAGAAGCCCTTGGGTACGTATGTGAGGAGGTTTCAGCCGACATCCTGGCTCAGGAGCAGGTGAACTCAATACTGACTGCCGTTGTCCAGGGCATGAACTCGTCCGAGACTAGCAACGATGTCCGACTTGCTGCCACACACGCTCTGTATAATGCCCTTGATTTCGCTCAAACCAACTTCGAAAACGATATGGAGCGCGACTATATTATGAGGGTGGTCTGCGAAGCTACTCTCTCACCAGATGTCAGAGTCCGCCAGGCTGCCTTTGAATGCCTGGTCTCGATTGGATCCACGTATTATGACAAGCTTGCACCGTACATGCAAGATATTTTCGCAATCACGTCCAAAGCAGTTAGGGAGGATGAGGAGCCAGTTGCCCTTCAAGCTACTGAATTTTGGAGTTCCATCTGTGATGAAGAGATCGAGATTCAGGAAGAATACAGTGCTGATTTCTCTGGAGATTCGGAGGTGCCATACTTCCAGTTCATCAAGCAGGCCTTGCCTGCCCTTGTCCCACTGTTGTTGGAAACTTTGACAAAGCAAGAGGAAGATCAGGACTTGGAAGAGGGAGCTTGGAACTTGTCCATGGCCGGTGGGACATGTTTGGGTTTGGTGGCTCGCACCGTCGGGGACGACGTTGTGCCTCTTGTTATGCCTTTCGTCCAAGAGAACGTCTCGAAGCCTGATTGGAGGTGTCGGGAAGCAGCTACGTACGCCTTTGGATCCATTCTTGAGGGGCCATCTCTAGACAAGCTAACCCCCCTTGTGAATGTGGCCCTCACCTTCATGCTGAACGCAATGAAAGATTCGAACAACCATGTTAAGGATACTACTGCATGGACGTTAGGAAGGATCTTCGAGTTCCTTCACGGTCCCTCAATTGAAACTCCAGTTATCAACCAAACCAACTTGCACTTGATACAGGCTGTTCTTCTCGAGAGTATTAAGGACACTCCTAATGTGGCGGAGAAAGTCTGTGGAGCAATCTATTTCTTGGCACAAGGCTATGAGGAAAGTGGACAGACATCCTCTCCATTATCTCCTTTCTTCCAGAGCATTGTTCAAGCTCTGCTCGCCACTACTGAGCGGGAGGATAGCGGAGATTCTCGACTGCGAACATCTGCATATGAAACTCTGAACGAAGTTGTTAGAATCTCAACGGAGGATACTGCTTCGATTGTCGTGCAGCTGGTGCCTGTGATTATGCAGAAACTCAATCACACTTTAGAAATGGCTGTCCTCTCGTCTGACGACCGGGAGAAGCAGAGCGAACTGCAGGCTCTTCTGTGTGGTGTTCTGCAGGTGAGTGATGGTGTTCTGATCTGAGACATTTTATTTCTGTGACGACCAAAGGTTTGTCGTTGAGGGTTCATTTCTTATCGTTGGTTTTTTCATTCTTTTTGTCTTTGTCGTACGATTAAGTTTTACTTGTACTTTGAATGTGGTAGAGGCACACGTAGTTTAAAAGGGGTGAAGTTGGTTGCGGTGAGCATGAATAATTACTCGGGTGACGTGCACCTTTGTACACACGAAGAGATTACTGACTGTTTTCCATCATCTCATTTTTAAATTGTGTATGAATCTGTAGTAGTTGCTATCTTCTCTTCGCATTAATTCTTGTTTATGAAATCTGAAGCTAATTATTGCTCGGTTTGGTTTGCTTTTACTGTCCAGGTCATCATCCAGAAATTGGGTGCATCTGAAACGACCAAGTATGGCATCGTGCAGTACGCCGATCAAATGATGGGTTTGTTCCTTCGTGTTTTCGCTTGCCGCAGTGCAACTGTTCATGAAGAAGCTATGCTTGCGATCGGAGCTCTTGCATATGCTACAGGGGCTGAGTTTGGAAAATACATGGGCGAGTTTTACCGTTACTTGGAAATGGGTCTCCAAAACTTTGAAGAATATCAGGTACTTTATACATAGAAGACCAGTTGTTGACAGTTATGTTAAGTGCTGATGGTGCTTGGGACTTTGCAAGATGTTTTCATGGTTGGGCGCGATCACAAAGCTGAATGGAATTTTCAATTAAGGAGTTTTCATGTTTTGGTATGACAGGTATGTGCAGTAACTGTTGGTGTAGTCGGTGACATTTGTCGTGCTCTGGAGGAGAAGGTTCTTCCTTACTGCGATGGAATCATGACCCAGCTTCTGAAGGACTTGTCCAGCAATCAGTTGCATCGCTCAGTGAAACCACCCATTTTCTCGTGCTTTGGGGACATTGCCCTGGCAATTGGAGAGCACTTTGAGAAGTATCTGATTTACGCGATGCCAATGCTTCAAGGAGCTGCGGAGCTATCTGCTCAACCGTCAGGTAGTGACGATGAAATGATTGAATACAATAATCAACTCCGCAGTGGCATTTTCGAGGCTTACTCTGGTATTTTCCAAGGATTTAAATCTAACAAGGCGGAGCTGATGGCACCATACGCTGGACATATTCTGCAATTTATTCAGAATGTGTATCATGACAAAGACAGGTATGGATAACAACAGTACACACTTTGTTACGTTGTTTTAATTTTAATTTTTTCGTTGTTCTCCACCAATTCAAGATGTCCGTTCCTGAGTGGAACCGTGATTGACATATATTTTGGTTTATTGTTGTGCCAAGAATATGGTGGGTGGTTTTTTTGATGTAGAATGGACTGAGCTTGGGGTTAGCAACGTGAATTGATTTGTTTTTGTTTTGCTTGCCGATTGTATTTTTGTTGCGGTTTGAAGGTTCATGCATCATCACTTTCTGGATTCCGTTCTCATTCATGTGCATCGTATATCTCAGGGACGAAGTGGTAACTAAGGCTGCTATTGGAGTCATGGGTGATTTGGCTGACACTTTGGGGGCTAGCTCTGCCGCTTTGTTCCAACGTACAGTATTCTTCAAAGACTTTCTTGATGAATGTACTTCGTCGGATGACCAGCAGCTGAAAGAGACAGCGGAGTGGGCCCAGGGCACTATCTCACGCATATTATCTGGTTGATAATCCTTTCATGAAACTCTTGGATCAGAGGACGAACGCATCACAGTTGTTCTATATATGATTGGTTGAGCATTATTGCATAGATTTAGAATTTAGCGGAGGCATTTTGCACGGTAGTAGATGATAGTTTATCTACGGGGGTTTCCATCTGTTAACATACACAGGCTCGGACCCAGCGTTGTGTAGTTCGTATCATTTGAATCTCTTCTGACCCACGTACCTGTGCTCGTTTCTGAGAGGATATCCCTTCATTGAAGTTAGTGTTTAGAATGGAGAGGAGCTACCTTGTTTAAAGTAATTAATCTGGTCAACGTCCAGCAAAAGTAGAAATCTTTAGTTCTAAGTTTTGGCACAGGTAGAGGCAGGAGCAGTGCTTTTGGCTGTCTCCTTGAGGTTTGATTTGGAGTTTATCATCGTAATGCTAATTCCATGCATGTCTCGTACATGTGTGCGCTTTCAGTGTTCGTGATGCTAGCATATTAGCATGTTTGTGACATCCAAGACTGTTCCTGCTATTTTTACTATCAGCTGTATCGTGTAGCCAGGAACAGATGTCATATAATATGTACCTACGATGGACCCCAGCGGTTCAAAGGATGATATGTGGCAGTTGTTTTGTTCATACTGCATCTCTTGTTATAAGAAAGCCAAAGATTGAGTCATTTAGTACCAGTATGGAACTTCTTTATTCTTGGGAATTCTCTTCCTTCACTAGACTACTCCAGTGTTCCCCATAGCACTTTCCTATATGCTGTAATTGGCTGGCTCTGTGGGTTCATTAAATATGTATATACCCATTAAAAAATATGTAGTTTTGTCGTCAGAACCATTTGATTCGCATCGAATAACATCTATCTATCCAACACCAACCGTATCTATCGCATCTACCATATCTAATTCTGACATGCAGATACTTTTTAATGGGTATATCTTGCCAATCGAAATGTGCCTTCGAAGCTGTTAAGATTGGCTTCATTCTTAACATGGAATAACTAATGCTGGCAAGTTTTACCGAATGGCCATGAAATGTCGCGATTACTTTGAAAGACAGCTGTGAACAGAATAATGGGGAATTTCCTAAAATAATGTCTTTACTTATTACCGCTACACCAAGCAATATTCCGACTGTGCCAGTGTACTAATGTAATTCCAGAGTATTTTATATGGTTGCATGACTGCGTTGTAGTCCTTATCTAAGGTCATTAATGAAGAGTTTATACGACCTTATAGAACTACTGTTTGGTTGTTATCGAACTAGGAATGACGGTGATTTTGTGTTGCATGACATCAAGTTAATTCTTTTTCTAAATTCCACTTTGTACCATTTCTCTGTTTAAAAACGAACGTGAATTTAGTACTCTGAAACCAAAATTAAGTGAATTAAAATGACGTCTTTTTATCGTAATTTCATTAAATGCTATGCATCTACTATTATCATTGATTGATTGAAGTTTCTTCAACATATGTATATATATTTTTAAGGTAAGATACTAAGGCAGAGTGAACTTATGATTTAGGAGTATCATGGATTATTAACAATCATTTTTAACATGACATATATTGTAGGAAGATGTTACATATCCATTAATTCAAACATACATTTGAATATTTTTTTATGATAAAAATGTGAAAATGTTTTTTTATATTTTCAATGCATATGATATATATCTCTTGTAGGATAAAAAACCACAAAATAATTGAAAATAGTTATTTAAAGTAATTGGCCCAAGAATAAAATCACTTCCAAAAAAACAATTAATTTATACCACTCTTATTTAGATATAGATTTGTATTTAAACATCTGTAATGAGATGATAATATTTACCTACTATGATTTGTTGTATTCACCATTGTGAAACCTTTCTAAAAAAAGTTATTAGCCAATGTGCTAATTAAACAAGTTTGTCTTTTTTAGTTTGAATTTCACAAATATACCATTTGCAAAAATTTATTCTTACGAAATGATATGGATTTGGAAAACAATTGTATGGTTTATGAGCTTTGCAAACTTGAAAACCCTTTAGATATAATTTTTTTTATGAAATATATATATATATATATATATATATATATATGTTATTGCTACAACTAGAATGAATTTTGAAAATTATGTCTAAAAAAACTACTAATAAAAATGATAATAGCAACAAAAGATGTTTCTTCATTAATAGACATGGATTTACACACATACACACACACAGACACACACACAGACACACACACACACACACATATATATATATATATATATATATACATTTTAAAACCTTTGTTAGCATATTTTAGATAGAAGCTATAATCTGCAAAGGCAATTGCATATTTTGGCTTAACAAGTTTACTACTCTTATGTGAGATTTTTTTTATTCCACTTTTAAGACTCCATTTGGATTGAATAATGAAGCAAATATCTGCATCACAAAATAATCTAAGTTACAAATAGTGGTTCAAATTTCTAATTGTTTTTTTTTTTTTTTATCTACAATTTAGTTCCCATGATCACAAAGATAATCTTTGAGGTTGTGGATAGATTAAGACATGGTATTACTAATTTAATTGAGAAGTCATTTAGTAAAAAATTTGTTTATATTAGTTGTAAACTTTTAACAATGTTGTTGTTTTTTTTGTTTTTTTTTAAAAATTATTATTTTTATATTTTTTATATTTCTATATATATATATATATATATATATATACATATATATTGTAGAATAAGAACCTAAGTTGTCAATGCAAGCTTAGAATATTTTTTCTTATGAATAGCTATACAAAGAATATGCCTCATATTCAAATTGAGATAGAACCAAATTAATATGACTAATAAAAATATATATAGAGACTTTAAACAATATTTGGTTTATGCCAAAATAAAAATAGAGGCCATTTATATTTATAATGGTACACATGTAACTTACATTCTTGATGGAATTACTAAATTTGGATTAATAGATTAATATATTTAAAAGATCTAAAAAATACATTCTTCACTTTTTTAGTAATCAACAATAAATTTTAATATGTGTAACTTTAATTAAAACTAGTATACCTATTTATAGGTTGAATCTTTTTATATCATATATATTTTTTTAATAAAAAAGTAGAACCTCTTTTTGTATACTTGATATTTATTGATAAAAAAGTAATTAATAATAAACTTTGTTAAGTCGTTTTCTATTATTTCTGTTGATAGATTTTACAAAAAAATTACTAAATTAAAAGTAGGATCTTTCATAATGATATTACAAGCCATATAACATCGTTCATGCAACAAAACACAATTTGTAATAAAAGACTAAATACAATGTGTGACAAACCAGAATATTATAATTAAAATATAAACTAAAAAATTCTTCATTTTATAAATCAAATTAAAAATATCTATATAAAGCTTTTGTTGAAATTTTAAGAAAGAATTTATTTAATAAATAATAATATTATTATTATTACTAATTTATGAATCAACAAATTTTAAGTATAGGTAATTTGTGTCTTATATCTTTGTTTGCAAAATTTATATTTTTTTAATAAATTCTCTAAGTTTCTATGTTACAAGCTAAAATTATCCAAAATACTTTCTTATTTTTTAAATGAATGTGAAATATTTGTATGCTGAAATTAATGCTTTTCAATTTACTTTGTTCTAATTAAATCTAAAATCTTCATTTTTTTTTATATTTTATCATATACACATATATTCAAAACTGTATGATATATATGTATTAGAAAATTTACTATATTTATTGTTATAAATATAAAAATTATTAGAATTTAAATATTTTTTTATTTTTTATCATTAGATAGTTTTTTTTCTATGTAATACATTACACTTGTTCCGAATGCTTATTTTAATAATCATCGTTTTACAAATAATATGAGGTAATGTAAGTTTAATAAAATATATAGATTTCAAAATTGTATTTATGTCAATAAGAGTTTTATTTAGAAGTCTTTTTTTCATTAGAAAATTTTAAATTAATACAATATTAACTTGTGATTAGCTTTTAATTTTGTGCTTATTAGCAAACTTTTATCATGTTCTTATTTTAACATTTTTCTGACTAAAAAATCCAAACTTTATAAATTACATTAAGTAAGCAACCAATTGTTTTAAAAAAATGTTTTTTCTTTCTTCAAAGTATCTGAGTGACATATATTTTCACTTAATACAAAAAAAGAAAAAAAAAAAAAAAAAAAAAAAACAACTTTTATTATTCAAATGACTTTTAAGTAAATTCCCATTTTATGTAATAGCAGATCTTTAATTTATTAAACAATGATGCCTTTTCTGGCCATCATTTAATTCAAAGTAAATAGCATATGTAGGTTTTTCATTGATAATAATAAAAATCACAATAGCACACAATCTCAAATTCAATTGTAAAGCACAGATGTTGATGTGAAGTCTCTATTTTGTATTATATTGTTGATTGTCAATCCCTTAAGGAGTTCATTTAAGTGTATGTTTTCTTTCTTTCTTTCTTTCTTTCTTTCTTTTTTTGTTTGTTGTTTTGTTGTTTTGTGCTATATATTACAAATTGTGGATTACCAAGTTTGTAATAGCATATTCAATATGTTAATTGTACTTATCTTCAAACAAGTGAATGTTGCAATTGGTAACATTTGTGTACTCAAAGAGGCTCTTGTTAGCCATAACATAAATTATTTCAAATTAAATTACAAAAATCAATAAATCTTTCCAAACCCACTTTTGAAATTGTTATATAATAGTTTAAAAACAATTCAATACAAGGTTTTATAATATATTTATCTTTCTTATTTTTTTAATAATGCTAGATGAATTATTTCTTTCATTTCTTTTATTAATTAAAAAAAAACTTGATTATAAATTTTATAACAAAATAAATGAAGAACTTGTTATTATATATTTTGGGGAATGTTACATAGACCTAAGTTTTTACTAAATTGATCTACCTATGATAAGAATATGGTAATTATCATGATTGTGGCATTAGAAAATATTTTTTTGAATATAAAGCCCTAGGTTGGAATAGGGAGTAGTGCTTAAAGATGAAGGGTAAGCAAAGTTTTGAAAAAATATAAAAAAGGAAGCTGAAAATACTAAATTTCACGGACAACAAGTGTTTCAACATGCAAAAGAGAAGGCCCTTGCATAGGTTGAATTTCTTCTAATGTTGGTTTTTATTGATTTTGGATCTAATAGTGGAGAAATGAATCTAGAGTTTTTTTTTTTTTTTTTTTTTTTTTTTTTCCTTTTTTTTCATGATGAGTGGGTCAATTTTGTAAAATTCTAAATCTATTTAAAATTTTCCTATATATAAATATATAAAAAATAAATATGTATATATATATATATATATATATATATATATACACATACACTCTATTATGTAGATTTAATTAATTTTCATTATACACATACACTCTATTATGTAGTTTTAATTAATTGTCATTAAAATTTAAAAAACAAGTTGACTAACAATGCATACAATAAGCTTTTCTTGTCATTTCAAGTTATTGATGAAGCAATTTATCTTCTAAATAGAATCTAGTATTAACTATAGAATGTATTGTGGTTTTAGGACCATTGCATATTTATATTGAATAAAAAACACTAAAAAAGGAAAAAAATATTTTGTGGTATAATTTGTATGCAGACCCCTGTTTTTATGTCTTCTTCCTTGGATCTGGTTGTC